ATTGAGAGATTAATTAATCATGTCAATATTTATATATAAATATATATAAAATATATAAATATACAAGATAGCCAGAACTTCAGTTTTGTCTATTCAGGTTTTTGTAGAGCTCTATCGAACAACCTGAGTGCAATTTCTGGTACACATAAACGGTGGCCGGATCTTGAATGAATTCAATATAAGTTATACAGTACTATCTGTTTATATTAGTCTTATTGTTTATATCGACACAAATAACTTAAAACATTTTATGTTTACTTAAATTCAAATGTCAATAGGTATGTTTTAAATTTGAAATGACTTACCTCTCCAGATATTAGAATATTGTGCTTGAGGATCCCAGTAAGCCCATAACTGCACACATATGAAGGGACAAGAACAAACAATATAGCATATAATCACAACGATAGTAATTTTAACTGTTTTTACTTTAGCTTTACTCAATCCTTTCATATTGTGTCGTCTAGATAATGGTGTTTTCCTCCGAACAACCACTTCATCTGAAGTATTCGATTTTGTTACGATCACTGTTTCTACATTATATAATTTTTCTTCTTTCGAAGAACAATTTTCTTCACAAAAGTTTTTCCAGACAGCTAAGCAAATTCGGGTATACGTAAAAGTAATTATAATAAATGGAATAAAAAATACAGATATCGTATACCACGTAACGTACGCTTTTTCACCCCAAGGTTGAATAAATGTTCCCCAACAATCTTTAACACCGGAAAGTCCCTGTACATCTTGATAAGAAAATATAAATAACTGTGGAATACAACATAAAAGAGAGATTATCCATGCTACGAGTACCATAATTTTCCCTCTAATTGGAGTCCAAGAAAAACTTGTCAATGGAAAACAAATAGCTTGGTAACGATCGATAGCAGTTATCACCAGAATATATGACGATAAATATGGACCGAGAATTTGAACATATTTTACTAATTTACATAATAAATATCCACCTCGAAATCTGTAAGTGATATCCCAAGCAATTTGAGGAAGAACGTGAAGAAATGCGGTCACCAGGTCAGAAAGACAAAGATGGAATAGGAAATAATACATGCGTGTCATTTGTATACGACGTCCCATCAATGCTAAAAGAACTAAACAATTACCGACAACCATAACTGCAAACATTATAGATAAAGTAATGATTTCTGCTTTTGCCAAATGTTCATCTCTTTCTAATAAAATTATAGAATGGTTTCCTAACGGATTTATAAACGAATAGTTATCCTGCATAACTACTTTCAATTAAATCTTCAGACAAATTCTAGTGAATATTCTTAACGTAACTGCATAATTAACTCTACACCTTTCTAAAAAGCAGGATTAATTCTGTCGAAAAGGGAAAGAAATATTTATTTTAAATAATTGATTTTGTGTAAAAGTATGTTGCATCTTCTAGATAAAGTTTTCTTTAGTTGAAGTGTTATTCAGTAAAGCTTCGAATCTCAAGCTGTAGGCTGTAGATAATTTTATTACCACAAGTTTTGATTTGATTTTTTCTTTACTGTTACGGCTTATCGTCCTAGAAATAAGAATAAAAATATTAGAAATAAATATTTTATTAAAATAATTTTTAGAAATTATTCGAAGCTATTAATGGAATATAATTTTAGACCTAACGTTTATCATTAAATATTTTTCAAAAATTAAATCTAAATAAATTATATTGAAAATAATTATTTAATAATTTCAATTCTTTTTAAATTTTCTAAATAATTTTCTAAATTAAAAAAAAATTTAATAGTTAAATAGTCCATTAATTCTTTAATTNTTCTACTGAAGTATAATTATTTATATAAGCAAGAACTTGCTGTGTGATGATTGATCAAAATATTTCTGTATAGTAATTTTGGTAAAAAAATTATTTCAAATAGGAAAATTTTTCAGAATCTTTATCACATTGTCTTTCTACTAACACCCTACCTCCTGTCACGAAGTCACAAAACTTTTACATATACCCTTGCAGTGCAGATGCCATATCTGAATGATCTCTATCGAATTTATTAATGTTAAGAAGATTGCACATTTAAAATTCAATAATTTCAAGGCTATATGTCTAAAATGGTCAAAAAATAAAATTAATAATTTATTAATAAGAATTTAATGAAACTATTTTTTAAGAAAATTTTTCTTAATTTATTAATTCTGTTGTTGCGATAACTTCAATCAAATATTTAATGTTATTTTTCTCTTTACCTTATCGATTTTAGAAACTGTCAATAAACTTTTGGATGAATGAATTTTGAACATAACAAAAGTATCGAAAACATTCTTATAATAATTAAATTATTGATTTTTCTTATCTTTTTGGTGTCAACACCAAATAGACAATCTATGTCAAATAAATACATGCAACTGACTTGTGAGTAGTGTTTTAAAATATTCTTTTAACGAAGTGATTTCCAATCTTTTACACTGCCTCTACCCTTAGAAAATTTTAAAATATACTCTCGTACATTTAAAATAACTCAATCATTCCATACAGATTATAAAACTGCCATGTTTATGTTTTATTATTAAAGACGGCATCAGAACAGTTAACTATCTGCAGGAATATGAACAGTGAATTGTGAAGAATTTGTCCTACTAGATACGAGCCCGATGATTCCGTGTTCATAGAAGTCCTCTGGTTTCTCTTCAAGAAGCCTATGACTACCGCCTGCAGCTCTGCATCCGGGGCAAAACTGCCGACACCTTAGGTGCTTATCCAATAATTCCCATGAAAGTCGTATAGTGAAGGTTCAAATTGTAGGGTGAAATCCTGCAATGACTCCGCACAGCAAAACAAGAATAAGCTCAGAAGCTTGTCAGACGACGTGATCCTCTTCGATGAGAATGCTAAATCGCATACTGCCAATATGCTAATATAACTCGTAAAAATCTTGAAAATTTTAAATGGAACATTTTGCAGCACCCAACCTACAATCCAGATCTTTCGTCATGCGACTTTCATGTGTTCGGTGAATTATTGAAAAAGCACCCGAAGAGTTGTAGTTTCGTCTCGGACGCCGAGGTACAGGAGGTGGTTACGGACTTCCTGAAGCAGAAGCCAAAAAAGTAGAAACATCGAATCATCAGGCTTGTTACCAATTGGGAGAGATGACTCAATGGTGATGATCATTACTTTTAACTTATAAGTAACAGTTTGAGAATAAATTACGTTAACTCATTTCTATTTCACTCATCCTAACACGACTTCAGTATCATCGTTATATCGCATGACGGGAGACAAACCAAATGAACGAAATATCAGATGACACGATATAATCGATATATCTATCCATCTGTTTTTTCTATTTTGATCACAATATCGACTTGCTTCTTTCTAACGAGAAAAGATATAACGGGTCTACAGACTAAAAAGACTGTTGTGTTCTCGATTTCTCTGTCTTACCTATATTAAAAATATATTAATTTGCTAAATTATAGACATTCTGAGCAAATCTGATAGGTTTTGTTCAGCATTTCTATAATTTAGTCATTTAATAAACGCATTAATTTGAATCGAATAAAAGATAAAATACTTCTCAATTATTTTACCTCAGAAGTTCTGAAGTTTTCTGCAATATCATTTTACATATGAATAGCTCGAGGTAAGTCCATTATGTCATTGATTGAGCGGTAGAGGAACTCGATCTAGAAATTATAAGAGATAATCGATTGTATGAATGATTCTTTTATCTATTAAAAAATAAAATCGCATCAGTTCATGTTTCGTAAGAATACTTTATACAGTATATAAATCCAAATTAAACGGCTTAAACAATAAATTTAATTTTTAATACTAATCTCTAAGAACCTCATTAACTGCAAGAAACCTATTATTGACGATATAATATTCATTTATTTTATTATGTATGATAAATTTCTTTATTAGAAATATATTCTATTTTGATTCATAAAGAAATTTGTCTCGTGAAAGTTTTCTTTAACTAGTTTTTCTATTCTTTTCCCCCTTACTAAATTTCCTAAATAAATTTTTTATTCTTAATCAATGCAATTCAAACATTTGCATTATTAATTCAAATGTTCTGAATACAGATCGCACATGATGTCTGGTTTAGTTATTGTTATGCGTGGCACAACATATAAGGACTGTTACGTATAGCCACTACAGTTTTGCTCATTACAGGATAATCTAAACCGCAATGAAATTAATTAAGAATGGATGAGCGATGAGAAGCGACGAACCTCATCTAAAGTTTTCAAATATGAACGAGATATGAATATGGTCGATTATCCATCCTTTTTAATTTCTAACGGTCTTTCTAACTTAGATAAAAGTCGCAATAATAGGGATCTTTCGATCATTTTTAATATTTCTAGGATCAAAGTGTTGCCTAAATTTCGCAATAAGCAATTCTTTTATCTTGATAAATTCGAGTTTATACCTAAATCGTAAGTCGTGAATTAATAGGAAATTTGGGTCAAGTGTTACGTTCGCTTCCAACTTCATCTCGGATCGAATCATCTCATAATGAGAATAATTGAGATTAGTGCTATCGAATCTCATTACGATACAGATAGCAAGACCCTTGATTTATATGTTGAAGTGATAACAATGACCGATTTGAGATTATGAATGTCAGTTTCCTATCTGTAAATATCAAGTTATTAACATGCTTGGAAACACAACGAAAATCAACATACTTTAGGAAATATTCATTTATAGAACAATTTTTAGAATGTTATAACGATAAATATTCTGTAGGCTCGCCAGTGGCCAAACGGTTCCATTCCCTGAACGCTGGTCGTGGGTTCGCGCCTCACCAGGACGAGCTAGCCAAGTGGAGTTATCCGGGTTTTCTCCACGTCTCTAACACCTAAATAGGGCCAGTTACCCTCAAAAGATCTCACGGAAGGAATTTCCCCTATCTCTTCGCGAGTAATTTCGTATAATTAAGCAAAAAAGCTTCGGCCGGCTCTTCGGAGGATAAGCGATCACACAAAAACCTACATATTAACCCCCATAGGAGATAGAGATTCTGTAACGATTTGAAATTAAAATGTTCCTAAAGCGTCTAGCTAAATAAGCTCGAGAAAGGTCCTCAAATCAAATCGAATTTTTTATATAGTATCTGATTTCCCTTGGCGTAAAACCGTAGTGTAGCAATTTTCAAGTCTTTAATCCTTTTCGATTCATAGAAACCGTGTAAAACTTGATTCAAATTTTCTTCACTGTATTTTTAAAAGATGTATAAAAACATGGCGCCATTTACATTATCATTTTACATCTAAAAAATTTATTTTTAATTTTCTGACGCGAAATTCGAATTTAAAATATAAATAAAAGTTTCAAATAAATTTTTAAATTTATTTGAAACTTTTCTCATTGATAATATGGCAAAATATGTCTCCATTAGCGTAACTGTTATTCAGCGTGCTTAAGCGAGGTTTTATCCACTCAGTAGTTGCAGTTAATGAGGTTCTTAGAGATTAGTATTAAAAATTAAATTTATTGTTTAAGCCGTTTAATTTGGATTTATATACTGTATAAATTCGACTGTATAAAAGCGAGGTTTTATCCACTCAGCGTGCTTAAGCGAGGTTTTATTTACTGAGTGGATAAAACCACTGAACACTGGTCGTGGGTTTGCGCCTGGCCAACGGGCTGGTCACATGGAGTTTTTCGGGTTTTCTTCACGTTAGTAACTTTCTACGGGAAACTAGCCTAAATAGGGGCCAGTTTCTCATAGAAAGCCTCCCGGAAAGATCTCGTCTCGACAGATCGTCCGTCCACTATTGAGTCGTCTAAACAAATAATCCAAACCTAAGGGGACCAGCCCAGACCCTGGATATTGTTTCTACGGAACAGTATGAATATGAGAATTTTTTAAATACATAAGAAAAATATTAATAGTTTTTAGTATTTATTTAACTTAAACTTTTTATTATGTTGATTGCTTTTTCGTTCGATTGATATTACATTTGCTTACAGCAAAAGAAAGATTTAGTAAACTTACCAATAATATTGTATAACAATTTTAAATTTTAAAATTTCGTAAAAATATTTTAAAACATCGTAAATGTAGATGATCTAAGCCACAGGTTCTCAAACGTATTTCGACCACCGCCCACTTTGAGATGAAAAAAAATCTAGGGCCCCATATTTTTTAACTTACCTTTTTACATTACCATCTGTTGCGTATCTTAGGCCCTGTACACACTAGGCGTTTTTCAACGAGCGTTTAGCGGAGCGTGCGCACTGGCTCGGTTTGGNTTATGGGTCGTTCAAATATGTCACACTTTTCACTACCTCCTGTGACAAAAATTGACAGGAGGGGTAGGTAGTCAAAAGAAACTTAAAATTGGTGATATCATGCTGATGTCACGCTTGATCTGTCACACCCCGATATTAAAATAAAACATTTCTGTAATCTATAATATCATCTATAATACATTAATTTATTTATATTTCCTGACAAGCGATCTAATTTTAGAAATAGGCAGTAGCGAAAACGAAATTCATTGATTTACGAAAGAAGAGTCTGATGACACAGTATTAATTAATAACTCCTAGACAAAAGATAATTTGTTATATATCGGTATCTTTATCTGTAACCTGTACCTTTAAAGGTTAAATTGTTGCCATTATCCCTCATATTAAAAGTTCTACCAGAGCACTTCCAATACAGCATACAGTCGACACCCCTATAACACGGGTTCCTATAGTTCGGATTCCTATATCACGGCGAAAAAATTGCGACAGTATTCGTACAAACATGCTAAAAAACTCCTATAATTCGGTAAAACGTCATCCCGACTCGTGTCGCGACAGAATTGCACAAACCGTTGAGTTTAAACGAGCAGCGGACCTACCAAAAACCATTTATTATTTAACGTCCATAAAAATTATATTTATATTAATGATGTCTCTAAAGTTCAGCGAATTTTTCGCAAAAAAATAATTTATCGGGAAGCACGCGAGTGCCATTCGATGACAATCTCCACGACGAAAACTAGCTTAAGCAACGGCGTAGTCGAACGGTGCACACTCGGTAAGTAATCCTACAATTTTTTGTTTACAGCATAGTTTATATGGATTATTCCCCAAAAATTATACGTATTTTGGAAATGTTGAGTCGAATTAGTCTAGAATCGATTAATTTTATGGAAGAAACCTTTCAAACAGCCGTAGTCCGTAAACTGCATACGTGCCGGGCTGTGATTGGCTAGACTCCTAGAAGCTGGATTCATAAAAACAGGAACGTATCTACCGTGTTATGGGGGTCGACTGTATTTATACAGTGCTTCTACTGAAGTATAATTATTTATATAAGCAAGAACTTGCTGTGTGATGATTGATCAAAATATTTCTGTATAGTAATTTTGGTAAAAAAATTATTTCAAATAGGAAAATTTTTCAGAATCTTTATCACATTGTCTTTCTACTAACACCCTACCTCCTGTCACGAAGTCACAAAACTTTTACATATACCCTTGCAGTGCAGATGCCATATCTGAATGATCTCTATCGAATTTATTAATGTTAAGAAGATTGCACATTTAAAATTCAATAATTTCAAGGCTATATGTCTAAAATGGTCAAAAAATAAAATTAATAATTTATTAATAAGAATTTAATGAAACTATTTTTTAAGAAAATTTTTCTTAATTTATTAATTCTGTTGTTGCGATAACTTCAATCAAATATTTAATGTTATTTTTCTCTTTACCTTATCGATTTTAGAAACTGTCAATAAACTTTTGGATGAATGAATTTTGAACATAACAAAAGTATCGAAAACATTCTTATAATAATTAAATTATTGATTTTTCTTATCTTTTTGGTGTCAACACCAAATAGACAATCTATGTCAAATAAATACATGCAACTGACTTGTGAGTAGTGTTTTAAAATATTCTTTTAACGAAGTGATTTCCAATCTTTTACACTGCCTCTACCCTTAGAAAATTTTAAAATATACTCTCGTACATTTAAAATAACTCAATCATTCCATACAGATTATAAAACTGCCATGTTTATGTTTTATTATTAAAGACGGCATCAGAACAGTTAACTATCTGCAGGAATATGAACAGTGAATTGTGAAGAATTTGTCCTACTAGATACGAGCCCGATGATTCCGTGTTCATAGAAGTCCTCTGGTTTCTCTTCAAGAAGCCTATGACTACCGCCTGCAGCTCTGCATCCGGGGCAAAACTGCCGACACCTTAGGTGCTTATCCAATAATTCCCATGAAAGTCGTATAGTGAAGGTTCAAATTGTAGGGTGAAATCCTGCAATGACTCCGCACAGCAAAACAAGAATAAGCTCAGAAGCTTGTCAGACGACGTGATCCTCTTCGATGAGAATGCTAAATCGCATACTGCCAATATGCTAATATAACTCGTAAAAATCTTGAAAATTTTAAATGGAACATTTTGCAGCACCCAACCTACAATCCAGATCTTTCGTCATGCGACTTTCATGTGTTCGGTGAATTATTGAAAAAGCACCCGAAGAGTTGTAGTTTCGTCTCGGACGCCGAGGTACAGGAGGTGGTTACGGACTTCCTGAAGCAGAAGCCAAAAAAGTAGAAACATCGAATCATCAGGCTTGTTACCAATTGGGAGAGATGACTCAATGGTGATGATCATTACTTTTAACTTATAAGTAACAGTTTGAGAATAAATTACGTTAACTCATTTCTATTTCACTCATCCTAACACGACTTCAGTATCATCGTTATATCGCATGACGGGAGACAAACCAAATGAACGAAATATCAGATG